ACTTTGTGTGGTTTACTATATTATTATACTGTGAGGTATTTCATTAACCAACCAAATAGGCAGAAGTTGGTGTAAACTTTTGTTGGCCTTTCGAAAACCGATGTACTGTATATTGTGCTCTGCATCCATGGAGCAATTGTATGATCGATGGTTTTATCGACTTCGTTACCCCGTTCAATATTTCATTTACGTTCGCATAAAACATGTTAAAATGATTTATTGAAAATGTAAAATGGTAATTGCGTTGATGTTTAGTATACCCGCAAAAACGCGTTTTATGCTGATGTTTCGTTCTGATAAAGTATATAAATCTACAACGATTTTGACAAAGTAATTACCATAAACTCACGGTAAAGTATATTATAATTTAAGAGAATCACGTGATTATTAGAGGATTATCAACATTTTTTATATTTTATAAAACTGCAGTCGTGGAGTCAACGATGATGTACGAGCAGCCGATATAGTAATAGGCATTGAATAAAAGCGATAAAAAATGTGTACGTAGCATAAATAGCGATGTCAACGAGTGGATATAAGGCTATAGGAATATGAAATGAAATTATTGAGCCTTAGGGAATGTATCAGAGCATGTGAGATAAATGTGAAAACGGTGATGGGAAAGAATGAGAGACATGGAAGTCAATATAAGTGTAACTGCAGACACTTGCGGGGTATAAAGGCGACGATAAAGAAGACGATTATAAATACAGGATTTATGATTCTGAGGATATAGAAGTCAGGGTTTTAATTTATTTTTTCTCAGATAATATTTTTCTTTTTTTGAATAGCAAAACTTTTCGAGTACAACTAATTATAGTTTATCACTTTTTATGACTTACAATAAAGAAAGGTAGATGGACAGATTTAATGAAAGCAAATAGACGGGTAAACTGATTTGACGATGATGAGTAAAAATGTTCAGAACGTCTTATTGTATTCGTCATAATAATTTAATATTATTATTGATCTTTCGATTTATATTTGTATAGTAGTTGTTTTTTGAGTCTGTATTTTTTAATATCCGTAAAACCGTGACTACCGAGTAAGTACCTATCGACCGGAAAGAATAAATTGAAAAAAATTGCGACAACATTTTAATTTCGAGCTCAACTCGAATTATAATGGGTTTTTCTTTAACGCACGTTGATTTATCGGTGCTTTTAATTTTTCGATGTTTATATTAAAATGGTATCACACCTTTCCGTAATAATTTTTCATATCGGTCATAAATATTCGCTACATTATACTTTACCGAATACGGTGGAAGAGACTTTGATTGAAAACAGACTTTACGTATTATATCATCGCATAATATTATCGCATCGCGTGTAAATAACAATGGGATGAAACAATGTTTCGTCTATAGATAGTTATATCTATAGTCCATATACTTACTGGCATTGTGTTTGAGTTATTGCGTCGATGTAACAAACTTTGTTTTATCTCAAACGGTATATTTTTATCAGTGGCGCATTTAGAAAGGGTGAGAGGGGGCGAATGACCCCAACGGCAAAATGTTAACAGTTTTAGGAGCAGCAGTTTTATTGAGTTTATTAATTTTTGTTTTTATCACAAAACGTATAACACTTAATAGCATCATTGATTTAAGTTATCCAAAAAATAATTACACTAGAACACAGAAAAAATTCTTCGCTTTGTGGTCTTAATTTTTGTATCCCTACTGTAAACACAAAAAAATTTGAGTTATCTCCACAAAACAATTTTTTACAGGAAAAAAAAATCCAACCAAATCAAATTTATATAACGAATTTCTTTAATTGAATTTAATAGATTGGTTAATCTATGATTTTATTTTCATAAGTAATTGGTAATTGTTGTAAGCTCTGTTGAACGAGTATAAAAGAGATTTTATATCGAGAAGGGTCGTCTTTTGTGTAGACTTTTTGCAACACTGTGTTTTCAAAACTTTGTATCCCCAATTAATAAGTAATATGCGATAACAGATTATCGTATCAAATAATTTTGAGTTGAATGTAAAATTAGTGAAATAACTGATAACGCATACAATTTGCGTATGTCATTATTTGGTACTTATGATTTTTTATTTAAATAAAACACATTGAAATTGATAATTTTTAAACCCTAGGATATACATTTTAAAATTTTATTTGAAACAAAGCAAGAGACATCTTTATCAATTAAGGGCTGAGAGCGAAGGTCCGAGGTTATAAAGAGTAGTAGGTGAAAATATGTGGGAGAGGAAGGGCGGCTATAAAAAATTATTTTGCACCCCGTGACGCATATATTCTAAATGCGCCACTGATTTTTATAACCGACCGGACAAATCAATAGAAAATATATACACCTATAATATACACAAGTATAATAAACATTTATTTTGTAATATTTTGTGTTGTGTTTTAATGTATCGTACCTATATACGTAATACGATAATAATAAAGTAAGTAATGCAATTTCAATTTCGTAGAATATTGGCCTTCAACTTTTTAAAATTTTGCATTTTTTCTTTTATAAAGTAAAACGGTTTTTATATAAGGTACCACCAAGTTGAAATGTCAAAAAAAAAAAAAAAATTTTTTTGAAATTTTCAGTTTTAAATTATTATTATCTACCCGGTGTCGTAAATTATCGCATTTACATTAAGAGGTAACGCTTGTATACATTTTTCCTTTTGATTTGTTCAACAAATGACTCGCAATATGTTGTTCGGGCGAAAAGGTACGATTAACACGCCTCTCAACAATCCTTCAGAAACACTTTCATCACAAACGTCAACAGTAAATGGGTACTCCTCGGTCTTAACTATTCTCGCCGAACATTAGGATGTACAACAGCTGTCTCTAAAATGACGTTATACAATTCAATTACCAAATTTAAAATTAAAAAAAAGCACACATCATAGCAAAATGCTCAGAATCTAAACAAAAAATAATAAGAAAAGTAAACAGTAATACGAAATTGCTTGCGCAAAGATTAATGAAATTATTATTATCTATATTTATTTTTCTTTATAATCCAACGTTTTCCAAAACGGTTTTGATATTATATAACCCTAAGCGATTTTTGAAATATTTACAAACAATATTATTATATATAAATGGGTAACCTACTTAAGTTTTGTATCTACGCTTTACTACCTTAATTGAATCTACCAACAAAACATGCATCTAACAATTATTTGTTCTTACTTGATTTCCTTGCGTTGTTTTTTAATCATATATTAATTACATGACCTTAAATTAAAATTAAATAACATCTCTGTTTCCCATAGATTAAAGTTACCCCCCTGCTGTCACCCTTCCCATCTACTTCTTGTTAACTTAAATACCACTTTTTTCAAAATTTCCTGTTTTTAAAGTTTAAATAAATAAATATTGTAAGTAAAATACTATGGGTAGACATGCAGGACACGAGTTTGCTGGTTGATAGTCAGTTTTTTAATGCTGCTAATATCACTAGTAAAATAATAGTATAAATAAGATGATAAAATTATAATATTGTGTAGTATTATTATTATATCAATGCATAAGCTGTTATGAAATTTAACTATTACTTTTTATGTTAGAATAAAAAAAACCAATAGTTTAATTAAAAACTACAACTAGTTTAAGTATTCGAATTTCAAGGATAGGTAAAATTATTGGGGACAGGATTATATATTTATTATAAATTCAAAAAATTAAAAATGTCAAGACTAAATTAGCAACTTAAACAGTTAAAACTTATGAAGAAAAAAAATAAAATAAAAATTCAAGTAAAATTGTTTTTAATTTAAATTTATTTTTAACCTTTGATTTATTCATCAATTTTAATTCTTGTTTTTTTTTTCAATTTACATTGGAAACAACGAGTTAATTTTAAATTATATAGCGTTATGCTAATTTAAATTTCTTTTAACTTTATCACAATATATTAGTATAAAAAATTAAGAAAATACTTCGCACGATGATTGGGCCACTGTTGTAGGTAAGTAGAAGTTAAGGAGGTAGGATATAGAGGGAAATTTAATGTATATATCTGTACTCAATGATTAATCTTTGCTAATTAAAACCGATTCTGAGCGGAGTTCAATTTTACATGTTTTGGAATGACGTAATATTTACGATTTGAAAATAATATATTTCGTAAATTTTCCTGGTTTCTTCGATTTATTATGAAAATTCCGGGAAAATAAAAAAAATATCCGCTTTAAAGTACCACTCCAATCAAATTTCCTTTCAGAAAAAGGGTTATATTTGAAAATCGGAGCAACATTTCTGATTGAAAAGTTGTTTACAGAAAAAAAAAATTAACATTATTGTGAAACCAATGCATTCCTTGTGCCACTCAGAATCTAAAAATAATAAATTTTTTTTTCTATTTATTAATATGTGCGATAAATTCACGTGACTTTGATAATACGGCAGAATAAATAGCATATGTTAAAACTATTGAACGACACTGTTTTCAAAATCTCATCAACTCGAGGTTTAATCATTTTCATTAGTTTCGATAAACGTTTAAAATAAAGTACCGCCTGTCAGAGATTTCACATCTTTTGGTTTACTGCACAAACCATTTGGAGCATTTTTCAAACTAAAACAATATAAATGCAATTTTTTGGAAAAATCACAAAGAATTTCGAACTACTTATAAAAATCCGCATCTTTTATGGTACTCCGTAGAATAATCTGAGCGTCTTTACTAATCGAAAAAAGGGTTTTTCGAGAGCGAAAAAAACACCGCACATCGTTTTAGTAAAACTAATCGCTTCTCCGCGACGCCCAAAATCTAAAATAATAATAACGTGCGTTTTCGCATGAGTTCGGTATCGTTAACGTGATATCCCGTATTACAAATCATTTATCTATCAAGCAGTGTCACAGACATGTGCCCAATTACAGAAAAGATTATACGCGTAATATCGACGAATATACAATACGTACGTTGCACTATTAAGTGGTGTATCAATAAGAACGGAACAAGGACCGAATGAAAGTATGGCAGTTAGACGGAAAAAAAAAATGGGTTTCACGTGAGGAAACATTCGACGACCGAACAAAGGGTGCGTTCGGCTGGAAGTTAGGGGTACATACACGAAAAGGAGCGGTGTTCCTATTCGGAACTCTGAAACGATCATTATTGTTAAATTACGGCTATAATGTGTTATAATATTAGGTGGGTATTATGATGAATGGTAAACAATATTCTATTAAACATGTGGATGGCGCGTAATGTTGCTGTATATAGTGCAATAGCTAGGTGTATTCGACGAAAACGCAAGTGTATACCGTTGTTTTCAACGGGCTGGTATTATTATATCAGCTAACGAAAACACGTTCAGGTACTCCTAATAAATAATAACAGCGCCTATAGTATAACGATAATATTAACGTCGTGTTTATTGTTGCTCGGTGTCCCTAACGGAATGAAATTAATTAGTTTTAAGAATTATTATTGTTGTACGGTGTAAAACACATGTTGTACACTTGTTTTCGATCCACTACGTTAAATGTACGCGACTGCACGTCGCAGTATGCCGATATGGTGGTTCGGTACCGAAACACCTATACACGATGTTGTATGAAGAAAAATATTTATTCAATGTCGAGATAAATATAAGATAGTATTTGAATCATCATCTAGACGAAAGCATAATAGATACGGCATAAAAATTCAATATTATCTAAATAAAGATAAATATCGGGAAATTGAGCACTAAAATCCGTCACTAAAGTCGAATTTTCCACCAGCCGACTTCTCGCCGTTACAATGTTTCACGTGTGTTTTTTTTTTCATATATTAAACAAAATAACTTTTATCAAAATAGGCAATGTAGTTCTCGGGATTTTCGCTACAAACAAACAGTGGTGTCTATAGGTTAAAACCACACGAAAGGCACATCATTGATCCTTACACCAAGCGCGTGTACAAATTTTCATCCTGCTAGGTTCATTTGGTGGGGGTTTGTATGAGTGTACACGTCCTAAAAAAACACACTCCTCTCGCAACCATACGGTAAAGATCATATTGAAATTCAACTAATATTGTATCACTTCATCAATCCTCCTATAAAAAAAACTTCTGATTCACGAGTTTGAGCTCTTTTGGTCCAGAGCGAGTCGATTAAAGTATCCAAATGTACCAGGAACGATAAAAATACAAACACCTATACAAACCGGACAAAATATAATGCAATTATCTATATGTCCAGGGAAAATTCGACCGAAAATATCATTTTGTTCGTTGATTTGTCCGCGACACGTTCATATTATTTTTGATTTCGCCGTTAGTGTATATTGTCTATTTCTGTACATTTTAGTGATGTTAAAACGCCCCTCAATAATAGTGATAGTGTATTTAACGACGAGATAATATTATGCGACTGAAATTTAAACTATACGTCATTTTGTAAAGTGCTTCGTTTCGTTTTGGAAAACGTGACGTTTACATTCGTAATGTAAACCGTTTTTAACGTAATTAATATACAGTATTATAATATTATAATAGTGATGTGAGTGCATTTACTCGTATGTACGCGCAGTGTCTTTGTTAAAATTAAAATGCATTAGTATTCATAAAGCGTTTAGGAATCGCGCGCTGTGATTCGTTAAATATATAAAAATATTACAAACGTGTAAAGGATCTATGAATTATCATGAAACGGAACCGTCCGACGGTTCGATTAAAAACGTCTGTACGAAATATATTATTTCAACGTCTATAAAGACACGAATTAGTAAATTGTTACTGCAGTCATCGATAAGATTGTTTAATCTGTTTTCAAGTTCAGGCGGAATTATCGTAATATAATTGTAATGCATGGAATTTAATTTGCGGACGGATTAAAATATATTGTACAATGAATATTCATCGTTACGAGATTAACAGCAACCGAACAAAACGCGAATATTGAAATGCAAAAACATTCTCGGTTGTAAGAGTTTTCGTTTTGACGCAAAAGTTGCGCGCGTAATGACGACGGTGCATTACGCGCTATAGCTGCATCGTCGTTTACGAATAAATTTTCGAAACGCAAACGGGGAAAAAGAAAGTCGTTATTATTTATTACATTGTTCTTGCGATCATTTAACGAAACGCGATAGTGAAAATGACGCGCGGGAACAGGAAATCAAAAACTTCGCATTTCCGTACGTATGACATTATTATGGTAATAATATCGCATTTTACGCGAGAGAAAACCCATATATACGGCATATAGTTTTTTTCACTTGTGCAATAAAAAAAAATCATTTTATTTTTTATTATCCGCTAAACATAATTATAATAAGAAGAAAAATACGTCTATTGGAGGGGAGAGGGAGGGCTAAAATATAGTATTTGACACTATTTTTCATTTAGTTCGGGATGTGATTGATTTCAAATCCCGAGTTACAGAATTATTTTTTGATACGTAATAAAATGAAAACGTACTCTGTTTTGAACTCAGGCACTTATAATCATCATATTAGGACGGTATTCATATTGGTATTCAGGGCCGGCACTGGCTTTTGCGAGGCTCTGGGCGAAATATACCGCGGGATCGTTTTATAAGAATGGCCTCTATATTAGAGATGGGCAACATTTTTCAAACATCGATGTTTTTTAGATGTTTTAACATACAAAATTTTCAGATTATAACTTTATTACAAACAATATAAAAATTAACATAATTATATGTCACGTGTGTTTCTTAAAGTTGAAGTTAACTAACTAACTTAACCATAAAGTATCGTCTAAAGTTTGTAAAAATAAAAGTTGATTTAAATGTTTAGAAGTTAAACGATTCCTTTGTTTATTTAATGTCAATCCTGCCTTCCTTAGGAAATAATCTTTTGCTTGGGACAGATGTCGCAACAGGTACTAGATATTTAACGGCCACTTTTGATAGTATAGGATACACTTTTCACATATCCTTCCATGTTAGTAAAGGATTATCTGATAGTTGGGCATGACTGATTTTCAGATATAAATTTAATTCGTTGGGAAATCCACTATCCTGTAACTGTCCTCCATGGAATTTACATCTGGTAGATTGTTGAATATATTTTGCATGACCTTGCCATAACACCATAAGGCATAAGTCCATAACACGAGATAGCGGATGAGTGATGATATGAGATTATGAGCGGCGTCCGTGATAACGGCGTCCCGAGAGGAAAAAGTGTGGCGCAAAATACAATAAACATGAAAACTTGTGTGATAACTTTTGGTGCGAGAGAAAATTGTAATACAAAAATTCCAAAACATCTAAACAACACATCGATATTTTCTTCGATGTATCCGTAACTAGACATCGATGTATCGACCATAAATGTCGTTTTTAAAACATCGATGATTTTTGTCCAACTCTATATATCTCTACTCTATATAGGGCGTTGCCCGAAAAAATGTTAAAGGAAAAATATTTGAGTTGAGGGTGTATACGACGTAAATGAACACCGATATATGCGCGGTATTGAGTTACGCGTGTAACAGAATGTAGATAATTACTGTCCGAATGTATCAATAGGTCAATGGTAATACGCGTAACCGTGGAGGCTCCGCCGTCGGTATTTCAGAAACACTCGAGCGTCCATACGTGTCCATACGATAATTCGTGTTTCATGATGAATGTTAAATGTCTGAAAAGTGCCCATAGCACGTTTGTGTAAAACCATTGCATTAAATAATCGATTATGAAATGCGAATTACCGGAACCAAGACTGCGAAGACTCCGTCTCGAAGTTTCCCCCGACGCGCCACCCCTATACTGTAACCGTGTAGCTAATTGTGCATGACCATCATAATATAATGTTACCCATTCATCGATGGATGTATTCCCGGGCAAGGGCTCTGTTTGCCCCCCTCCCCCGTCGCGCTGGCACTGCTGGTATTGCTTCGGCAATAAAACCCTGGAACAAACATATCTGGACTTCGGCGTTTTACGTACATCGAAATCCGGAATCGTGTAGACATCCAGAGAGTAAAATAATTTTTGAATTTCGTCATAACTAATAATGATTTATTATTAACTGCCTGAAATGATCGATAACTACAGTTTTACTTTCCGAGTTTTCTTCGGTTTGATTCCAGGTTTTCGATTCCGGATTTGCGCGGTGTACGTTATTATGTTTGTACGTTCCACACTTACCTATATGCGTTCCGGGATTTTACGCGCTCCCGTTTTGCCGTATCGATCTAAACCTGTTCAGAGATACCGAAATTTAAGTAATAAATTGGATATAATTGGCTCGATGATTATAAAAACATCGTAACCTTTTATTGTATTAATTCCGCGGACGGAGGGGATATGTTTGTATTATTTTTTAACGTCGTCTTTGTTAATAATTCTCGTTGGAGAAAAAAAAAAATAAAACAACAATTTCTACAGACGCGTACGGAATAAAATGGTGTACTGCGGCACCAGTCATAATGTACTGTAGGCAACTAAATTATAAAACTCCGTATGCCACCGCGCAAGAACTTTTCGCTAAACAAATTTGTCGTATACGTAAATTTAAAATATTAAAAAAACACAATATATATTATATATATGTATGTAATGTGGTAGATGTGATAGTTTTTCCAATTCAAAATGTTATAACAAAAAGTTTCTCAAACTGTACTGTGACGCGCGCGTGCACATTGTGTTGTGCATTGTGCGCGTGCGATTATTTATATGAACTCGGCGCGTTCAAAGCGGTTTTCTTTGCGCGAATAAAATATAGCGATATTATTATTTATCGTCCAAAACGATTCAATAAATTATTAATACGTTTCTAAGTACGATTATTTTTTTTTTTTTTTTTTTTTTTTT